ATTTCTGGTTTAATGACTTTTTATTTTTAATAAAACGTTTTGACAAGTGACTGACGCTCACCTCAATGCCATCTGTTGTAGTGCACTACCCCCAGGAAGTGACATCATAAGATCAGAAATCGTTTGGAGAAGACGGTGAAATGTGTCAGGCAATGGGTGAGCTGCTTCACCAGCAATCACAATGTCTGAAAGAGGGTGTTCACACACTCTCGTATCTTTCTCCTGAAATGTGCAAGAGTAGAGTTGGTGAAAAACTAATTAGCTTTGATTTGAGATCAAAATATAAAATTTACATATCTATCCAAGGCCATGAAATTGACATTTTATATAGCTTGCTTAAAGTGCAATAAAAGAAAGCAGGTATATAACAGGAGAGAGAATCTGAAAATTATTCTGGGTTCTATTATACGTGCATTTTCCATATTTAAATGTTTTAGATAACAAAAGGGCTTATTAACTGAACTTTTGATAATAGGACAAGACTTAAACCTACAGTGCAATATGTTAAAGAGGCTAAGAGCATACAAGAGCAGTTGGTGTCTGAGCTTCTAAAGGCACCCGGTTTCCAGTTTTTTTTTTTTTTTTTTCTTTTATGTGCACCAGTTTAGATGCTTCTCAGAGATATCCATCAACATCAATGAAAGCTTCTCTGCTGCCCAAGAATTAGCCGATATTTAATAAAATTGAATGAGTAAGAGCTGCCCATGTTCTGACATAACAGTTACACAATGAAATGCTCCAGCAATCTTGGATTCAACAGGTATAAATATTTAATCATGATGGGGATTAGAAGGAAGCTGAGGATAGTGCATTAAAAGCACAATCAGTTAATAATTTTAATGCCAATTTGTTGTCCTGAAAATTCTTACTATTATACAGTATTTATATAGTGCCAACGGTTTGCTCAGCACTGAACATTACAATGGGAGACAATACAGTAAACAATACAATTCAATACACGAGGGGTTCATGGGCCCTGCTCCTTGGAGCTTACAATCTAGGAGGGAGGGGATAGTGAAACAGGAGGAAATAGCTGTGGGGGATGGAGTGGTAGGAAGAGTGGACATCGGCAATTAGCTGAGGGCGGGGTAGGCTTCCCTGAAGAGATGGGTCTTCAGGGTGCGTCTAAAGGAGAGGAGGGTAGGTGATAGTCTGATGGATTGGGGTAGTGAGTTCCAGAGGATGGGGGAAGCCCTGGAGAAGTCCTGGAGATGGGCATGGGAGGAGGAGACCAGGGAACTAGAGAGTAGGAGGTCTTGTGAGGAGCGGAGTGTACGTTTAGGGTGGTATTTGGATATCAGGTAGGTGAGGTAGTTTGGGGCAGTGTTATGAACAGCTTTCTACGTCAATGTTAGCATTTTGAATTTTATCCGTTGGGCAATCGGAAGCCAGTGCAGGGATTGGCAGAGGGGGGTGGCAGATACGGAGCGGTTAGTAAGGTGGATGAGTCTGGCCACAGTATTCAGGACAGACTGAAGCGGGGATAGCCTGTGGTGAGGTAAGTCGGTGAGGAGGGAGTTACAGTAGTCGAGTCGTGATACGATAAGGGAGTGAATGAGTTGCTTAGTAGTTTCTGGGGTTAGGAACGGACGTATTTTGGAGATGTTGCGGAGGTGGAGTCTACATGAGTTTGTCAGTGATTGGACCTGGGGTTGGAAAGACAGGTTGGAGCCTAGGATGGCACCTAGTACTCTGGCTTGTGGGGTGGGACTGATGGTGGCGTTAGACATGATGAAAGTCGGGGGGGCGCGGGCTGGGGGGAAAACTAGGAGCTCGGTTTTGGAAAGGTTTAATTTGAGGAAGTGGAGTGACATCCAATCCGATATGTTGTTCAGTAGGCTAGTGGTTCGGGCAGAGACTGAGGGGGTGAGGCAAAGGGTAGAGAGATAGATTTGCGTGTCATCGGCATAGAGATGGTAGTTGAAGCCGTGAGAGTATTAGTTGGCCAAGGGAGGAGGTGTAGATGAAGAGAAGGGGCCCTAGGACAGAACCTTGAGGGACCACAACAGAGAGGGGAAGTGAGGGGGAGGTGGTAGCGTTATAGGTAACACTGAAGGAGCGCTCTGATAGATAGGAAGAGAGCCAGGAGAGATCGGAGTCTCTGAGGCCAAGAGAGTGTAGTTTTTTTGAGGAGGAGGGGGTGGTCAACCGTGTTGAAAGCCGCGAAGAGGTCGAGGAGTAGGAGCACTGAATACTGGCCATTAGCTTTGGCGGTTAGCAGGTTGTTGGGGAGTTTGAGTAGGGCGGTTTCGGTGGAGTGTAGGGGACGAAAGCCAGACTGTAGGGGACGAAAGCCAGACTGTAGGGGATCAAGGAGGTTGTTGTCGGTGAGGTGGGAACTCAGGCGATTATAGACTAAGAGCTCAAAGAGTTTGGATGTAAATGGCAGCAGGGAGATGGGTCTAAGGTTGTTCAGGTCGGTGGGATCCAGGGAGGGTTTTTTAAGCATGGGAGTGACGTGCACGTGCTTCAGAGGGGAGGGGAAAGCGCCAGCAGAGAGGGAGAGATTAAATATGTGAGTGAGGGTGCGTAGGATGGAGGAGGAGGGTGATTGTAGGAGTTGTGAGGAGACAGGGTTAAGGGGGCAGGTGGTGAGGCGGGCTTCAGAGAAGACCTTAGTGACCTCTTCAGTGGTAGCAAGGTCGAAGGAGCGGAGTGTTGAGGGGGTTTTAGTGTGAGGAATGTTAGGTGGGGTGGAGTTCTGGGCAGTGGCGAGGTCGGAGTGTTGAGGGGGTTTTTGTGTGGGCAGTGTTAGGTGGGGTGGAGGTCTGGACATGGCGAGGTCGAAGGAGAGGGGAGTTGAGGGGGTTTTTTGTATGAGGGATGCTAAGTGGGGTGGAAGTCTGAGCGGTGTCGATGTCCCTACGAATTGTCTTGATCTTGTTTTTGAAGTGATTGGCACTTTCGTGGACGGTGAGGTACTGGGTGGAGGTGGGGGCGGAGAGAGCAGAGAGTTAAACGTAGAGAAGAGCCGGCCAGGACTTGAGGAGAGGGTATTGATGAGGGTCACAAAGTAGGCTTGCTTGGCAGCGTGGAGGGAGGAAGTGTGGGTGAGGAAGGCGAATTTATATCGGGTGAACACTTGTTGGGATCTGGTTTTGCGCCATAGTCGCTCCAGCGCACGACTGTGTCGTTTGAGATTTTTGGTATGGTCCGTCTGCCAGGGTTGAAGCGGTCGGGGTCTAATGCTTCATGTGGTTAGAGGCGCTAACGAGTCTAGAGTGGCTGAGAGCGAGTTGTTATCAAAAGTAGTGGCCCGGTCAGGGCAGGACAGGGGAAGGATACTACAAAAGTAGTATGCTTTTTTGAAATTCATAGACCAAATCTATCACCGAAGTATAGAAAACAGAGTTACAGCTCTAAAAAAAAAAGGAAGAAAAAAAAAAAAAAACACACACACACACAAACTATAAGCAATAAACCAATTAGAAAGTACAGCAGATTCTGCCAATACATACTTGTTCAGCATTCTCTTTGTTTGCTTTATTCTCCTCATCCTCTTCTTCCTCTGGTTCTAGTGGAGCAGGGGTAAGCGATGCCACAAAGTGCCATAAAATGTCATGCAAAGACGTTGTTTGAATGACATTGCAAAGCAGCCAGTTGAAAGCCTAAAAAATAAATGTGTTTAATTTATAGTAGCAATGGAAGCTCCTGAAAAGCAATTCCAGGATGTACATGTATATTAGGAGGACAAAACCGCATGACTGTGTACAGACATCATATAAGTGTTTAATAGCTGTATGCTTTTCTTCATAGATGTTGGTAAATATACATGTGTTTTTAAGTCACTTCTACAAGTATACAGGATACTGTAAAGTTTGATTCTAGTATGATTGAGTAGGTATGACACTGCTTCACCTGTCAACCATTCTTTTTGACAACGTTTATGCTTTTTTTCCCAAACCACCTAACTAGCAAATTAATGCTGAACTCCATGCAACCAGCAAAAAAGGCAGACATAATAAATAAAGGAGAGCCGTTTTACCTGACAAAAGGATTTGTATTTCTGCTGCGTCATTCCCAGGAATTACACAGCTCAAGCTCCACAGCAAAGCCAACCTAGAGACTTGATTTCTCTTCTATTGTTAAGCAATAACACGGTCTAGTCCCTGCCTCCAGCTTGTGACTGGACAGTGATGGATAAGCTGCAGACTGATTAGCTTTTTCTCCTGGTCACTCTGCTCTCCTCCTATAAGCATGCTCCTTAGCACATAAAAACACTGCAGCATAACTGATTGGCTGCTTGTATCAGCTCTCTACCATTCTGAACTCTGTTGAACAGCAGATTTCAAGGCTAATACCAGGTCAAATTCAGGTACTCACAATAGTGCTTTTAAAAAAGGCACTTAATCCGTTGTAGGAATTGTTTTGTTTTTTTTGTTTTGTTTTTTTTGCCTGGAGCTCAGCTTTACCCTCAGTGATCACAACTTAACAGTTTCGGAGAGAAGACCAGAGCATTTGTCTATAATGTTATGAAGGATAGAATCTTTTGTTGCAGGGGTGTGGAAATTTTTGAAAAAAATACTTGTCCAAGGGACTAAAATCAGAGTCCCAATCTGCTTGTCCCTCGTGACAATCTACTTGTCCCGACAAAAAAAAAAAAAAAAAAAAAAAAAAATTAACCAAAGCTGTATTTAAATCTTCTGTGCTTTTAGGAATGTCTGGGGCTTTTATAAAACAAAAAGGGGTTTTATGGTGACTTAAACCTTTATAGTTTTTAGCATTGCGTTGTTTATCTCCTCCTTCCCTCCCTGTGTCTCAAGCACTGTACCCGGGGACTAGCAGAGAGGGGAGAGTCCTTGCAGTGTGATAGACACCGACTGAGTCGTCAGGAAAGGGAAGTGTTGGGCTCTCTTAACACTCTGCAGAAGTGCATCTGCTGAGCGAGTACATGAAGCGCTGGCCCCAATAAAAGAAAAGAAACAAAAAAACAAACTTTATTCCTTCAGGTTACCCTCGCATATTGAAGTACTTGGGTGCTCAGTACAAGTGCATGCTGAGCAGCCAAATCAAGCTCTGGAGTCAGCAGCTCCGTTAAAGGATAAGTTCACTTAAAAAAAACAAAAACTTTTTTTGCAGTTAAAATTTTTTTTTTTTTTTTTTTTTTTTTTTTTTTTTTTAAAGGAGCCTGGAAAGCATTGCACCAGCAAACAACAGATACAGATTCAATGCAGGAGTCCTGCAGTCAGTGTAATCTGTCTGCCGTTCATCATACACCTTACGAGCAGGCAGTTTCACACTGACCGGAATAATTAATGAACTGAACTACCAGAGCTCTAAACAGCGCTGTGGCAGTTCATTGAGGACTACAAGCCAACAGTCGCAAAGGATGTAGGTCCTTGTAGTTGATTAATTCACAAAACTCTGTGAATGGATGATGGGTTGAGGCCTGCAGAGTTGTGCTCTTTCAAAAAGTGATAGCTAGTACAAAGAACTTCTCTCCTTATTTCTGTCATACAAAGGCTCGGATAGCCAAGCTGCTGCAGGAGCGGGAACGTGTTACATGTTCCACCCTAAAAACGGGTGAAACGTAACATATACCCAAAAGGTGAACTTATCCTTTATCCCTTTCGCTGCCAGAGCCCTCTGTTTATTGCACACGTTTAAAAAAAAAAAAAAAAAAAAAAAAATCACTTTGGGCCTTAAGATTACAACCCCAAGAAAACATTAGAGACACCCTAGAGAAAAAAAACAGGGGTAGTTTATTTTTTTGATGTCACATTATACTATTGCAAAGTATCTGGGAAACGCACAATTTCAGTAAAACACACACTAAAGTTAAATTTAAAAATAAACTAACAAGAAGGCAATAAATTACCCAATGTTTTGTTAAAATGTAAAAGATGAGATTGCACTGTGCAGTGTGTGGAAGCAATCAGATGGAAGCTCAGCCGACTGTATGCTTCCACCTGACAAGCCCTGCAGGGATAAATGTTAAAAAAAACAAAAACAAAAAAAAAACCCACACCCATGCACCTGGAACTACATGTCCCGGGCGCTGGCCGATATAAATTGCACATCAATAATAAACGTCTAAGAGATTAATTCCTTCTTCATATCTTCTTTTGCATAATTATAAAATTTATTTAGATACACATTAAACAGATCAGCTTTATGAGAATATTTTCAGCTTGCGTTAAGGTTTAAAACCTTTTTGATATATAATTTGCAATTGCATGCGTTTGTGACAGCAGCCACCTTTGCTTATTACATGCATTTGCTTTTTTCTGTGCAAATAATGGTGTTTTACTGCTTCTTCTTACAAAGAAAGTCTGCGTAGCCTGACCCAATAAAAACAAACAATGCACTCCCCATGTGGCTATTATCCTGCCTCAATAACTGCTAACTACACCAAGGCACTGAAAGCTTCCTCTAGTGGATACTCTACAAAACTCAGAATTTAGAATAATAAAACACATGAAAGAGCAAGTTTCTAAAAATGTAAGAGACAAAAATAAGTTTAGGGTAAATGGTGCAATAAGTCAAAATATCTGTTCACTGAAATCATATATGGTACTATCCCCTTTAAAATATGCAAAAATATAAAAGCAATGCATTTGTGTTTATTTTATATGTAAAATGCATTAAGGAAATCTAACCCTTACTTAGTAACTATGAAATTTAACTAACACTCCATACAAAAAACTTCTAGCTAATCTCTAAACACAAGCCTTTCTGAAGAATGAAATCTGTCCCAAGGAGCTTAGGTTAGATTACATGTACCAGGTCTACAATCATCATTACAAAAGCATCTAGAAGCCAAGCTAATAAAATATTGCTTTACATCAACAAAGATGAATTTAGTTAATTACCTCCATAGCAAAGACCCTGCAAGCGGATTTCCTAAGAGCCTGTTTCATGGCAATTTCAAGGCCTTCAAGATCATGGTGTTGGATAACAAAGGCTAAAACTGGCCACTGAAAATTTCTCTCTCCTTTAGACAGTGAGCTATGAGCAGAGATCAAGCGAGACAGCTCTGGTGATGGGTGTCTCAGTAAGGAGGACCCAACTTCTGTATAAAAAAAAAAAAAAAAAAAAAAAAAAAAAAACCACATTCAGAAGAGTAGTAACATTTGTGAATATCAATTTTTTTTTTTTGGGGTGTGGGGGGGGGGGGGGGGGGGCAAACATTGAGGGGAAAAAAAAAAAAAAAAAAAAAAAAAAAAAAAAAAGGTAGGTAGCAAGCTACCACTGGAAGAGGACTGTGATAGGGGGCAGCCTCGCTATATAAGGGTGATCTTGGCAAAGCAACGGCAATCTCATTGGATAACAAAAATGAGTGGGCAAGCCAGGGCCACCTATTAAAATCAAATTTGTTCTTTCATATTAAATCTGAAAAAAACAAACCTACAACAAAAGCTACTTGTAAGGAGAGATTGCATTAAATGTGTTTCAAAACTATTAACGGATTGACACCCTCCTCTAAGAAAAACTGGAAAGCATTAAATATACCAGCATCTCCACTGTTGACTCTCCTTCTGGGAATAGCTTTGACTCGTGGCTGAAGAATGGAATGCTGCTTGTCATATTCTGAGGCAACAACTGAATAAGATCTTTGGAAGACTGTGCGTTTAGCAGAATCAGTATCTGTTATAGGACTTGTTTCCAAACTGCAAGTTAAGAAAACATTACATAATGTAATAAGGTATTCCAGATATCTATAAAAAAAGAATACCAATAAACTAGAAAACAAGGAAAAATATTTAAAAAAGGATCTATTTAGCCATTAATAAAAGCAGGATTTATTAAACCTTTGACTATACAACCCATTAAACATTTAGAACATTTGCAACGACGTACATGCTTCAAACTTACCTAGGTGGCATAGATTTCATGTTGTTCTCTGGTTCTTCAAATACATTCGGACAAGCGTCAGGAGTGACTGATATGTAAGGAGCTGGCACGGATGTAGAGCGAAGATATCTCATTTCATCCTGGAACAGATTATCATCCTGGTAGCCTGCAAAATTTTCGTGATGATGTCTGTGTGATATAAAAGTGCAGACATAAATCTCAACTCTTGTCATTACATATGTGCATGGCTTATTGTAAAAAGTTGGGGGGGAATCACTTTACAAAGTTTGCATAGCCTGGACCAGACATTCTGTACAATGTACTAAAAACATGCAATTTGACTACATTAACCACTTTATAATTTTTTTTTTTTAAGACAGAGCTTTCTTTTGGTGGTATTTAATCACCACTGGGTTTTTTATTTTTCGATAAGCCAAAAAACTGAAAAATTCAAAAAAAAAAATAAAAAAATGTTCTTAGTTTCTGTTATCAAATTTTGTAAATGAGTAATTTTTCTTCTTCACGAATGTGCACTAATGAGGCTGCACTGATGGGCACAGATGAGGAGGCACTGGTAGGTGGCACTGATGCGCATTGACAGGCAGTATTCATATGCCACGGACTAACACTGATATATGGCACTGAACGGCAGCTCAGATGGGCACTGACAGATGGCATTGATGGACACTGACAGGTGGCACTGATGGGGCTACACTGCTCATCAGTGCCTTGATGATCAGTGTAGATGTCCCCTCTGAGGAATGCCGATTACCGGCTCTCCTCTCGTGACAGCTCGTGAGGAGAGAAACGCCGGCATTTCCTTATTTACATGCAATCAGCTGTGACTGGACACAGCTAATCACATGACAGAGCCGAAGTCATCGGCTCTTTCTGCTGATCGGTGATCTGCTGTGTCCCAGGACACATCACTGATCACCGCAGCCACACGCGGTTAGAGTGCGGGGGAGGACGTCATAGGACGTCCTTCCAGAACGACAGAACCACCTTGCGCCCATCATTTCCTTATATGGCGGGCGGGGAGGCAGTAAAAAAAAAAAAAAAAAAAAAAAAAAAAAAAAAAAAATACTTTGTCAGGTCTCAAAATGGTTTAATCTAGCAGGACACAGCAAATATTCAACTCTTCAGTGGCCCATTTCTCTTGCCTCTCTACCAGTATATCACTACATTGGAAAGCCTCTTTGGCATTAAACACTTTCTTTCCTCCGATCTCCTACCCAACTACAAAGTCCTGCAGTTAAGTAGAGAAAGGAAGCATCAAGCAGCAGGGGTCACAGAAATCCAAAACTATCTGAAGCGCTGAATGCAAATGCTGAAAAGAGTATCTGAAGATTCCATTAAACAGAATAGAGGTAGGTTATATGTTGTCATATTACAGGGACCTGCTGGAATAAAACATTTAAAGAGACCCTGTCAGGTTTCTAAAGTATATAACTCCAATCATTAAAAATCACATACAAGCTTTAAAGGCCAAAATGTTAACAGTATTTAGTAAAGTATTTTGCAGGCAGTGACGTAGGCACCTGTGGAGGGTGTTCTTGCTTTGCCCAGAGATAAACCTTAACATGTTTGTGTAATTCCAAGGTTATCAATTTTTTTTTAGACCCTAATCTTTCATTAACCACTTCAACACCATCATATGTAAATAAACGGTTTGGTATTGAAGCAGTTACACCAGGATCATGGTTGAGGCTACAACCATGATCCTGGTATATTCTTTTTTTTTTTTTTTTTTTTTTTTTTTTTAGGGCCAGCAATTCAGTTTTGTAAAAGTAATCTGAGCGGCTATGCAGCTGGTAGATTATTTTTACAGGTGGCAGAAGGGGGACCCACTACCCTCTGTTGCTGATGCCTTTACGAGGCTCTGTCGTCTGATCAAGGAGCCCAGTAAAGATGCCACAGGCAGCACTGGCTGGCTCCCCCAGACACAGTGGGAGGGAATTGATGGTTTTCCCACTGTGTGAATTCAGAAACCAGAAGCAACAAGGTTTTTGTCAGTTTCTGCTCGTTTGTTTACGGTTACTGGCTTCTGAAGGAGCAGCAGATGAAACAGATTTTGTTTATGGTTACCAGCTACTGGTTGGAGACCAAAGGAGAGATCTTGGGTCTAAGACCACAAATCTCTCCATAAAGAGGACCTGTCCCTAGCCCATGCTGTCACAAGGGATGATGTTCATGAGCTAAAGACAAGCTTCGTGTGGTCTTCATATTAGCACAACAGTGCGTAGAGAGCTTCATGGAATGGGTTTCCATTGCCGAAAAGCTGAATTCAAGCCTTACATCACCAAGTGCAATGCAAAGCATCGGATGCAGTGGTGTGTAAAGCACGCCGCCATTGGACTCTAGAGACGTGTTTTCTAGAGTGACGTGTTTTCTAGTGGAGACGTGTTTTCTAGAGTGACGAATCACGCTTCTGTCTGGAAATCCGATGAACATGGCTGGGTTTGGTGGTTGCCAGGAGAATGATACTTGTCTGACTGCATTGTGCCAAGTGTAAAGTCTGGTGGAGGGGGGATTATGGTGTGGGGTTATCTTTCAGGGGTTGGACTTGACTCCTTAATTCTAGAGAAGGGAATTCTTAAGGTGTCAGTATGCCAAGACATCTTGGACAATTTCAAGCTCCCAACTTTGAGGGAACAGTTTGGGGATGGCCCCTTCCTGTTCCAACATGACTGTACACCAGTGTGCAAAGCAAGGTCCTTAAAGACATGTATGAGCGAGCTTAGGGTGGAGGAACTTGAGTGGCCTGCGCAGAGTCCTGACCTCAACCCAAGAGAACACCTTTGGGATGAATTACAGCGGAGACTGTGAGCCAGGCCTTCTCATCCAACATCAGCACTCCTAAACCTTGTGGACAGCCTTCCCAGGAGAGTTGAAGCTGTTATAGCTGCAAAAGGTTGGCCAACTCAATACTGAACCCTACGAACAAGACTGGGATGCCATTAAAGTCCACGTGCATGTAAAGGTAGGTCTCCCAAAACTTTTGGATAGAGATAGACATATAAATAAATGTGTGGGGGTTCTAAGTAATTTTCTAGCAAAAAAAAAAAAAAAAAAGATGATTTTTACATGTAGAAGAGAAATGTCAGAATTGGCCAGGTAGGCAAATTGTTAAAATAACTTGTGTCTTTGTTCAGGCACTTAAAAAGATGAAGATGTTTGGTATTGTCTCCCAATTTGCGCTCAGTTTCCACTGACGACTACATGTGGTTGTTTAAACACACATTACGCAGACATAAGTCCACTGTTGTTGCCATCAGGAATCCTGCCCTGAGGAACGTTAGGCAGCCGTCGCTGGAGTGCATTCATGAAGACAGAAAGTGGCTGCAGGAGATTAGCAGCACCAAGATGCAACAAAAAAAAGTGAAAACAAATGTCAACTGTTTACGATACGTGTTTAAACGAACCTTATGTTAGTCATTTAGGGTTCATTGTTTTATTACAGGTACTTCTATAGCGCAATCAGATTACACAGCGCTTTACATACATATATTGTACATTCACATCAGTCCCTAACCCTCAAGGAGCGTACAATCTAAGGTCCCTAACTTACATTCATATATACACATACTAGGGCCAATTTAGACAGGATCCAAATAACCTACCAGCATGTCTTTTGGAGTGTGGGAGAAAACCCACACAGGCACAGAGAGAACATGCAAACTCCAGGCAGGTGGTGCCATGATTGGGATTTGAACCAATGACCTTCGTACTGCCAGGCAAAAAATGCTAACCATTTAGCCACTGTGCTGCCCATTTAAAGTGCTCACATGCAGGCGAAAAAAAAAAAACACAAAAAGGCATTAAAAGGTTTTTTTTTTTTTTTTTTTTTTTTAATATTAAAGGCTGCACTCACATTTGAGCGTTTTGCAGCTTGAAGCTCTAAAAAAAGCTCATACTTAAAGAAAAAAAAAAGAAAAAAAAATTGTTCTCTATGGTGCCTGTTTGTTCGATCAGGTATGAACAGGCACCATAGAGAACAATTTAATTTTTAAGTTTGAGCTTCAAGCTACAAAAATGCTCAAGTGTGAATGCAGCCCAAGAACTCATTGCAATAATGGAAAAAAAAATGAATTTACCTTGCTAAAGTCTGCAGGTAGAGACATTGCATCTTGGGAGGCAGATCTTCAGAGATGCCTTCTTTCACACTGGGTAGATGGGATGGGAATGGTTTGGGAGGGTGATAACAGAGAATGCTTGGTTCAGCTGCACTGCTCAATGACAACAGGAAGAGGGCATTGGCTTTGATCACTTGATGAGCTTCCATGGTAGGCAAAGCACGTGGTGTTTTCACCTGTACTGGCTTCCTCCTGGATTGCTTTACCTATTAAAACAGACAGGTGCCAAAAAAAAAAAAAAAAAAAAAAAAAAAAAAAAAAAACTTCAGTAACAAAATATTTGAGTACTAATTAAAATAGGGTACCTTTGTGCCCCCTCCAATTTATTCTATTTTGTCTTTCTTGCACTATAATTAAGTTGTGTTAGCAGAAGTGGAGACACCAGCTGCAGCAGCTGCTTGTTTTTTCAATGCATGGAGTTTGACTAGGTCATCTACTGCCAAAGACTACCCATGTTATAAGCATCTTCAGCAATAAAGTGTTGTGAAGACATCGAAGATTAAAAGAAACCAGTGCAGAGGAAAATATGTAGGCTGCCATTGCTCATCTTCCCATAAAAAAATGCTTGTGGTCTCCAAATGCAAGAAAGCAATTATATGAATTGTCTAGATATCATAATGAATTTGAGCAGATTTATAGGCTCATTTTATGAATAACCCAGAAGTATCCGTACTCTGATGTGGTAGGACTGAGTTTTTCTCCAGTAGCATAGTTCTCAGTAGGCCATTCATGTCAGAAGGTTCATCAGTAAGGATTAAAAAGGAGTACCCCAGTTCTACAAATAGACAAGGGGCCACCAACTCCATCCTGTTAAACAAAATTACTGTGAAACCCAACAGGAGGCCAAGGCCCATTATAAAGTCACAGGACCATGAAGTGAGTAGAGTGTATCATGATCATAAAAAGGTACAGACCGGTGAAAGACATACCTTCCAACCATAATCCTAAAACTACCGATGCCATTTCAATCAAATACCAGATCACTGGTCACATGAACTCAACTAAAGGGACTCAGGGAAGTGTCAGATCTCACTCTCAGCAAATTCTTTTTGCATTTGTGTCAAATGACCAGCACTGGCAGGATGAATTCAAGAATAGAGGGGGTAAGGCATTTCTAACCTGTCTGTACCTTCATATTCAATATTTAAATTTTTTTTTCCAGTTAAAATTATAGTTAGACTACAAGATTATTTTGAAGACTTTAAGACAACTATGCTTCTGTAGTAAAACCCTTGGAAAAAAAATACATGACTAGCCAGTGCTGAACAAAGGCTATTACCTTTTCCCTTACCGCTGCTTGTTTTTCTCGAAGATATTTCTCTCTGCAGCGGTCACAGACTAAGTACCAAGTGCTTCCACCTACTCCTCCATCACCACAGTTCCCAGCCCATCCACCACAGAAGTGTCCTATGCTGTTATAGCCTTGACCACCAGCATATCTTCCACAGCCTTTAAAGAAACAGGTTAGTTGATAAACATTTGTTGGTTTTAATATTTGTAGGACTTTAGATGCATGTGCATAAATGAAATGTAAAATATTAAATAACCAAATCTTCTATTTCTCCCATCAGCTCATCATCCACAGTTATTACCTCTTTTTCCACCTGCCCCTCCCTATTAGATTGTAAGCTCCCAGAAGCAGGGCCCTCCTAAGCATCTTGTATTGAACTGTACCACTGCTGTATTGTCTCCCGTTATATTGTAAAGCGCTGAGCAAACTGTTGGTGCTATATAAATCCTGTATAATAATAAAAAATTACACAAGCTAGTGTTAGGTTTAACAGCTGCATAACTAACTTGCACTTTCAGATAAATTAATAAAATTATTGTAGAACTAAAAGGCAAATCATTTTAAATTGTGGATAGTAAGGCACCGTTATAACCCCCATCAGTTTTTTTGCCATCTGTGTCCCATAGGGGAGATTTCCCTTTATGTCCTGCCCCATAGCCATAATTCGTATGAGGAAACCCCAAAAGTGAGGGAATTCCAGGGTATCACCAGAACTAGTGTCCCAGTTGGAAAAACTCCCCTTCAGGTATCAACCCAAAATTTGGCATTTTCTTTCACTTTCGATAATAGTTTGTATTGCTATCTTAGACCTTATTAGGGAGATTCACCCTCCCTTTTTGCCTGTTTACTGACAGGTATTCTAACCCCTCTTCACTCTATCCAACACTAAGAAAAAATGCCTTCAGTTATACTTTAATCCTTATGGACTGCCAGTTTATGTGAAAGAATTTAGATCTTATTCAGTAAAGCTAGCGGCAGACTACATAGAATATCAGAGGATAGCAAACATATTGCGTATCTGATTTAGTATTAAGCACAGGCATGCTCAGTTACATGCCAACAAAAAGGCACAAAGGAGTAGCCATAATATTCAAACAGTAATTAGAATTTTAAAAAGTGTTCATTACCAATAAATCTAATTCTGTTACATTACAAATAACTGTACAACAGACCCCTGTGTAGTCAACTATAGTGATCTCAAACTTAAAAATTGGTAAATATACCTGGGTGAGCTTGCCGCATGTGGTAGGTCACTGGATAAGGGTGTGATTCGCCACACAGTTCGCAAATTGTGTCTTTCTCCGGTCCTCCTACGGCTAGCTGAGCCATTTCACCAAAGAGGTTACCACGTGGCCGTGACTCTGCCTTTTCCTTCTTCTTTTTCTCCTTCTTAGCTTTTTTGCTGTCCTTCTCACCTTCTTTTTTCTTTAACACAGCACAAGAACCAGGGCTGGGGAAAATCATATTCTGGGAAGCTGCTTTTATAGTGGCCAGTGAAATATCCTCCCAAAAGGCTACAAGGTGTTGAAGTGTTAAGGGAAGTGGGGCTCTGGATTTGGTAGAGTGGTGATTTGACACCTCAAATGGGGAACTCTCATGCTTGCTATCCTCACACTTCTCATGAAGCGTCCGTTCAGTAAGCATTGACAAAACCTTGTTCTTGTTAATACTGACCATTTTTGATATGTCAGGCCCATGTGGTGATATATGAAACATGTTGAGAGCAGATGATATTTCTATTGAGTGTCTGTTCTTTAATTTGACTTCTTTTTCTTCTGTAGGTTGTTGACTGTTAAGACTGCTTCTAATGGGTGCATGCTCTTTGGACAGGTCTGGATTAAATTTTAAAAAAGAAGAACATGCCATAGCATCATGAACAATACCTTCATGCCAAAGAAAAGCTGCAAACACAGCTCTTGAACATTCAGCTACAGATGGGGACATCGCTTCCTTTGCTGGTTCAGCAGATCTTGAACCATCTTTAAAGAGAAAGTTTGTTTTTTCTTTTTTGGGCCGAACATGCCTGCCTGTGCTTTTACGGCTGACTTTGGGAGAGGACCGTGTGTCTTGCTCTTCCTTTAGTGGTGCTTTTCCAATGCTAAAATGAACTTTACATGCACCATCATCAACACTTTTTACCTCAGTATTGTCCTCACATGTGCTGTCAGTAATGCTGTTGGTCTTTAATGTACTTGAAGAACAGACTTCAACTACCTCACTGTGTAGATTTTCTTGGACAACATGTGGAGATGGAGCTCTGTTTTCACTACCACTAGCAGGTTTGCCATCCCTCACTGTCATTTTCGGTTTAGGTGAAGTGGATCGCCCTCTTAATGGTTCCGTGAATGGTACCTTCTTTTTGCGTAGTGTATCAGGATCCAGAGTATAGGAATCTGACTTGGATCTTTCCCGTGGTGGTTCAAGTTTGGTCTTTGCAGGACCAGCAGCTTTTTGAGGTAGGCTTTTCTCCTGTGGAGATGCAGAGCGGGAAGCACCTGCACTGGACACAGTCTTTCCAGCAGGCACCGTTTTTGGCTTTGGTGATGTGGATCGTGAACCAGGACCAGGAGATTCAGATCTCAGGCCACATGATTTTCCATCAGACTTCAGAATTTGTAGAGTGTTGTGGTTTGGAGATAAAGATCGGCTGTGAGAATCTGATCTGAGTTTTGCAGCATCTGACTTAAGGAGAAGAGACTCACTAGCTGTGAGCCCCTCATTATTTCGTGGTTTCTTCTGATCAGCATTAGAGCGACTTGCTCTTCCGTCTGGCTTGGATGACTTGCTTTCAACTTTCTGCTTTGAAGGCAAGTCTGATTTGCTTGTTGTAGGAGTTGGCTTAGCAGAAGCAGGAAAATGTACTTTTTCATCTGTATAACAGAACACAAAAATGCATCACAAGGCTTAATTCTAAAACGGTATGTAGAAAGTATCTTCACATTCTGTAACACAACAGTGTTTAGTGATTAAAAAGGTACCAAAAATGTATTATATTGCAGCTTACCAGTCCCTAGATGTAATGGCTTTTTGGTTTCTCAGGCTTCGCCCCCCTTTATTTTCACCTAGCAATTCTGCAAAATACATTACCTGTTCCTTCACGTTAACACTTATTTCTCTGTGTCTATGGAGGGAGCCATGGCTGTCACGCAGACTATACTTCAAACATGTCTGCCTTTGTTTATCTCCATTACATGTTAAATTTTATAGGACTGGTAGATCTATCATAATATTTGTGTTTTCTTTTCAGCTCACTGAAAGTGACGAGTTCCCTTCGTTTTTGGCATGTTCAACAGGCATTTTCTACACTTGATGAAAATGTTACTAGTCTGAAATGTGCTAACAAATGCTGCCAGCACATCTAAGGACTGGTAAAATCCAGCATATTACATTTTTGTTTTTGGATATGCTTTAAGGCTTCAAATGCCTGAACAGATGTCCACCTTTGTGGTTTAAAGGCACAAACAAAACAAACAAGACCTTACATTGCTCTCTTCATGCCTAGTTGATTCAATGTCTTAAGTGGTATCTGCCCTAAAATTATGAATTCTGCATAGCGCATGCTTTTAGTGCAGTGACAAGAAGCATGCATAAAAAGAAACGCACTGAGGTGACAAGGTGTTCTGGTGCAAAATGAAATACGGCATCCTTGCATCCCCTTAGTTATGCATGGTCTCTTCTGATCATGGTCTTTTGGGTTAGTCCAAAAAGTATGCAGAGCTAAAAGGGATGCAATTAGGGTGCCTTCTTTGCATGCAGAAAGCCCGGTGACTGTGCGTGCCTCCAGACAACGTTTAGGTCATATGGCAAAACCATTGAGGAACAGAACAGCAAAATATAAAGTTGTAGCCTTGCTCAGTTTTCATAGATTTATTAAAAAAGCTAAGACATTTGCATTCATCTTCCAACTCAAAACAGATCTAATATTCTGCGCATAAAATCATGCACAGAGCTGAAAATAAAAAGCATTTTACGATCAATTAGCAGGTTAAACATACACTAAGAAAAATCTTATATTTTATACCACAGCACATAATATTCAAAGCATATATACAACCATTTCTATAGCTAAACCGAAACTGAAATGGCATGTAGCACATCTTATATGCACTATATAAGCAGCCACTGTAGGCAAAATACTATAATAAAATTACAATCATTTCCTCTATGAAAAAGAAAGGACAGCAAGGAAGCGGTCTGCTTGCATGCACATACTTTACAACCCTACTATGAAAACCTGTCAACAGAAAAATAGGAGAGTAGATGGGGAGAGAAAGCGACCCTTGTTGACCTCCTAAAAATGCCAACTGCTTGGCTGTTATGCTGAACTCTCTGTCATCAGTACCTTCCAAGTCACCTACCCAGAACAAGTATACAGATCACTAAAGTAGTAAAGGGTAACTCCACGTTTGTGGAGAAAATAAATAAATATTGTAAATAAAAAAATAGCATATTCAACTGTGAAAAAAGCCATACTGTGATTTAAGGGTATTAAAATTCTCTTTTCTATCTTCAGTGCTGTAATTTTTGCTAAAATTCAATGCAATATGGCAACCCGGATGTTTTCTGTACACCGTTGGCGTGCGGACAGCCCACAGAAATGTAAAATTCCTGCTTGCGTGATTGGCACACTGATTTTCCCAGAAGTCTGCAGTAAGAAAAGTCAGATTTCAGGCATCGTCTGCAGCAATAATTTCTGTTTTGGTGAGATGCTCCTAAAGGGTTAATCAATTCTAAAGAACACAGACCCTGCCAATCTCCTCCCTGGAACACAGCTAATTATTAAAGATAAAGACATGATCTAACAAAGCTATTCCTTCAGAGCAGAACCAGGTAGGACTATGCAACAAAGTTAGTTAAAAATCCTTGCAATGTACATAGATCACCCCACAACAAAAGTGGAGTTACTGTTTAAATCCATATCTGCATACTTTTGCAGGGCCAATTACTTTAAGAGAAACTGTGCCAAAAAAAAAAAAAAAACAGAAAAAAAAAAAAAAAGAAGGGGGAGGGCAGAGGGCACAAGGTTGGTCACCAGCAGTGCTTCTGTTCCTCTTGAAACAAATCTCAAAAAAGACTCAAAGAAGTGCTTTAAAGTGGTTGTAAAGGAAAAAAAATGTTTTAAATGAAACTCTCCCTGCAGCCCCCATAAATACTCACCTGAGTCTGATCTAGGCCCAGCGTAGTGCACTTCTGCAGAAGTTCCTCTCAGGCTTAGCTGAGAGCAGCGGGAGCCATTTGCGGTGTTCCAGCAGCAGTACAGGATTTGCCCATCACACTCCTTGAACAAAACTGAATTGGACTGAGCAATGTTCAGCCATCCACTGAAAACTTTGTATTGTATGAACGAATACAATGCTTCTTCTGATTAACTGGAGTGGACGGATGATACCATGGTCTCCATCTCAGCCAACTGGAGGAAGCCTTGTACTCATTCAGAAAATACAAAACTTTCTGTGGATGAGCAGCACTAAGACTGACTCAATCTTGCTCCGGCAGTGGGAAAAGAAGTCCCCGTCCCCATGCTGTACGGGGGGGTACATCTGTTTGTGAAAGTAATAGTTTGTTTAGACCAGCTTGGTCCAAACTATTTGAAAGTATAGCCCAAGAACACCAACAGTCTCCCACATGCCTAAGCAAACTTGAGATGTGACACGTGGGCGCTGAGAATCAATCTCAGGACCAACTCACAGCACCTGGAACAAGGCAGGAGAAATGACAAAGCAGTCACATGACTGCTGATAAAATAAAGCACAAAAAAAAAAAAAAGAAAAAAAAAAAAAAAAAAAGGGGAGGTACTTTAAAGCAGAACTCCAGGCAAAAGCTTTACATGTCCTTGCTGTTGACCTCCGGTCACTGAATATGTAACCCATTTTTTTTGTTCGCTCAGCAGTTCTGAAATATCCTATTTATTTTCAAATCAAACCGTTAAAGCAGTTGTAAAATATAAAACAAAAAAAAACAAAAATTCACTCTGCAAGTTAAAAATGTGCTAGTATGCATCACATTCTGAAATGCTTACCTGAAAACAGGGCTTCCATCTTCACCAGGTCTTTTATCCGGATTTGCAGGCTGTGACCGCTTGACTAGCTGAGCCGCAATTATGTCACTCCCATGTATGCTCGTGGGAGTTACAACTGCAGCATGGCTCTCAATGGATGGCAGTCCGTCCACTGAGAGCGCAGTGTGCATGCATTGGTAATATCGGTGTAAGTTTAGGAGATATTTACTGTACCTAAAGGTAACCTTTGTATAGGCTTACCTGTAAGTAAAAATCATTAAAAGGCCTTTACTATCACTTTAATTCTCTTTGATTTCCTGTTTGTACGACCAGTGGGTGCTGCACCTCCTTTTCCCCCAGCCATTGGTCTTGGCACATCACTTCTGTAGTTCTTCTCCAGGAAGCATTGATGTAATTCAGCCCCACTTGCTGTGGTAGGCAGACCAAGACTCAGACACATTCAACATGTACAGGCCTAGTGTACCCACTCGCATTCACTACAGTTCCTTGTGGTTGATGGGAACTGTAGATTTTTTTATCCTGAAGTGAGAATGGCAGAGCAGATGCTGTTATCTTTTGAATTCGAGAGATGAGGTCATGAAAATTAAAATTAGACTTTTCTCCTAAATAAGGATTTTCAAAATTTTCTGAACTGTTTAGTGTTTTGTGTAGGGAGGGTGTACTAGTGGGCGATTTATTTAGCCTATCCTGGAGTTCATTTTTACATAAACTGCATGCTTAATTAGTGGGGTAGGTAAGCTTTGTCATGGTGCAGATTACATGTGTTGGGTTAAATAAATACTCTGGGTAAAACATACACATCAAAATTATTTTAGACATGTAGATATAAGAAGTTAGAACCACATTGAACCATTTCTGTATTAACTAAACTTGGCTAGTCTTTTTTACCTCCAGAGCCTTCCAACTGCTCATTTGTGATGGAAAGCCTTAATTACCAATAAAATATGCTCAGGAGACAGTCAAGGCAGGTCAAACTGGATTTTTACGGAACATGTTTGACACTTGCTTTCAACTTCAATTGCTTATCTCTGGATCTACATATGCGTCATCTTTCATTCTCATTGTAAGCAACCATGCATTATGCATTTCTTCACCATATGCCGATTTCATTGTCCAGGTTTGACGAGTTTACTTACAATTTTCAATGAAAATCATGAAATGTATAAAAAAAAAAAAGGTCCAATTTTCCAGAGTTTGCAAATGAGAGCATATGGGAAACTAGTACATAGTCTTCATTATTGTAATTTAAAACTAAATATAAATACAGTAATTTTGACTACACATGGTCAAATTTTCAGGACAGACACATTTTGTCCATGTTGCCTGCAACTAATACATACAGCTGCTTTGACTGCTAGAAAAGCATGAATATCTAATACAGCTGTCTGTACCGGGATATACCTCTAAACAAAATAATCCTTTTATTTTTGCTCATATGCCACGAGGCTTACTCGCTTCTTTAAATGACAGGTTTCCTTTAATATATATGTAAACCCAAAATCTATCTTCATGTCTCAACATTTTGCAACAGATTGACAAAAAAAAGTACCAAAATAAGTATGTGTATACATATATATATATATATATATATATATATATATATATTTTATTTTTATTTTTTATTTTTTTCTTACCCACGGTAAGCTGCAATGCAAATTTACTGCCTCACAATTTGTAGTAGTATTGTCAGCCTGCCGTGTGCGCTCCTTTAGTCAGGCAGCCTATCAGGTCCACCAGCCATGTGAACCAATGACGAACTGAAGGACAATGCATGGCAGGCTGACAATGCAGCTGCGAGGCAGTGGCTTTGCGTAGTCAGTTGGCAACAGGAGTGCGGTTACTGACAAGATC